TTTGTATGAGTAATTTATAATACATATTTATAATTCTTAAAAGGTTTGTTGCTGTTGCCAAAGTTTGTTGCATGAAATTGAGTACACATTCAATCATAATTTTCATTGCTGCTGGTGTTTTTCCTAAAGAATGTGCAGTAAAAAAAACTGTCTTGTTGTTAAATGTTCATACAAATTCAATACAATTTTATCATTACACATCATCATAAATTATGTACAACGATTATATTATAAAAATATTACTAATTTTATACATGTACTTATAAATAAATATTAATTTACTAGCTAACTAATAATAGTATAAATAGATACAAGGGTATTTACATTTCTGTTTGTTTGTAGAGCTTTAATATTATTGTGTCAGAGTCATAATATGTTAAATCAAACTAAATTTGTTGTTGCTCGGACTTCTTATCTCATCATCCTAGTAAGAATTTAAATCAAAAAAATCTACGTATTTAGTTGCGGAATACACGAAAACAAATAATTAGTATCGTTTGATGAATTATTGTGTTTTTCGTGTTTTTTGTGTAGACCTCCAAAGCTTGATTAAATTTGAAGGACTCGTCGGGATATCATGTTTTTATGTTTTTATATTTTTATATTTTTTCAGTTTTAAAATAGTTTGTATTGAGACTGTTGTTAACTCCTATAATAACAAGAGTGTTATATTCGGCTATTGCGAATCTTATATACCCACTATCAAATTAAGTGAATTACGGAAAGTGGTCTATTCTATTCTTTTGTTATTTGTTTCCACAATTTATTTATTTATTCTAAATTTTAATAACCTATATAAATAGTAATATCACCCTGACGTGATACAACTATTATGTTATTGCATTGCATTGCTATTATGTTGAATTGCATTGCTATCCATGTTCCTTAAGCCAGTTATCTGTGTTGAAGTCATTTTCTGAGGCGGACAAAGAGATTTTAGTTCCAATAAAATTAGTTTATGTCGAATTTGCTATACATATATTTTAAGCCTGTTATTTGGATTTAGAATCATTTTCAGAAGAGGACCTCATAAGGGGGTAGGGCCAATTATAGGCCGAAGCTTATAAAATTTGAGAGAGGTGTTTGTTCCTATATTGGCACTTTGATGCAAGTTATGTGCGTTATAGTATTTTCTAAGAGGTGACCTTATATGTGGGATAGGGTCAATTCTTGACCGAACCCCATAAATTTAGACAGAGAAATTTCAGTTTCTATAAAACATCTATATGTCGAAATTTGTTCCTATGCTGGATTTTTGTAGCAAGTTATGAGCGATAATGTAATTTTCAGAGGGGGACCTTACAGTACAAAATTAACCATTTTAGTTCCCTTAAAGCTTGTTTATGAAGAGTTTCGTTGCTATACTGGCATTTATAGAAGTTATGAGCGTTATATGTAGTCATTATCTGAAGAGGACCTTTTATGGGGGTAGGAACAATTACAGACCGATCCTTATAAAATTTAACAGAGAGTTTTAGTTCCGATAAAAAATTTTAATGTCGAATTTTCTTACTTTACTAACAGTTTGAAGCAAGTTATGAGCGTTAAAGTAATTTTCTGAGGGAGGCGCTCTATAAAGGGTAGGGTCAATTTCGGTCTTATCCTTACAAAATTAAGCGACGGCATTCTATTTCTCATAAAACCTGCTTATGTAGCTTATGTGCTATACTAATATTTTAAGCGAGTTGTGATCGTTGAAGTCATTTTCTGATGGGATATTTATATGGGGGTTAGGGTAAATTATTCAATCCCCATAAAATTTGACAAAAATCATTTTGGTTGTTTATTTATTTTCTATATATATATATGTTTTTTAAGCCAGTTATCCGCATAATAGTAATTTTCTGAAGAGGACCTTATATATATATATAAGGTCCTCTTCAGAAAATTACTATTACTATTAAATTACTATATATATAGCGGTGAAAGAAAAGAATGTACTTAAAGAGATCTCTGAACTACCTTTAAATATAGCTGAGGGTTCCCACTCTGAATCCTCAGATGATAATAAAGATACCAGACGGAATGATATAGAGCAAATGGTGAATGATGTATGTAATAACATAGCTAAACTACCTATTAATAAAAACGGCTTTCTGGAGCACAGAGGAGAAAGAAGAAAAATAAGCATGAGGAAATTATAGTGAGTCAATCTCACCACATTCCAAAGGAAAAATTGGATTCTCTCTCAATATCTGAGGCAAAGAGGACCAGATCTCCCGAGGAGTTGACAACTGAAAATAAACCTAAGAAGAAAAAGAGTTCGCCGTCTTCTAATATAAAATCGAAGCAAAATTATACCTCACTCACAGGAACTTCAAGTCAGAATCCTTCGAGTAATAGTGACAACGCCAAGTCCGATATTCCGAAGACGAACATGTCGGCGAAATCAACCTCGAAGGCAAGTTTATCTCAAAAGAAGCCCCGAAAAACAATGAAGAAGCTAGACGGTGGAAAAGAAAAAAATCACCAAGAGTCAAGAGAAGACATCGGGACGATCTCTGCTATGCAGTATACGATGTCGATAACCCAACAGACAAAATTCCAATAGCCCAGCAGAATATGATAGAATATCTGGTCAACAATAAGATAGTGGACCATGCAATCGCTTCAAAGGGTAAAGAATCAATAAAAAGCGTGACAACTTGGTGAAGTGTATTCCCTTCCCTGAAACGACGCTAAGCTGGAACCGGCAAAAAACAGGCGTCTTCCGGTGCTCTTAAAGTCCAATTAAAACATAAACGGATTAGAAATTCTTGGCAGTCAAAATGCTGTAATAGGTATCGATCAGAACTCCATGGCTAGTATTGTCAAGAACCAAGACAAGGACTCTAAAACATCTAAGACGGTGTAAGCAGCATCATCAGCCACTAGTGTTAACGTTGAGGAGTCAAATTTACCAATTTCACCGAAAAAGTTTTTTTTAATTAAAATTCCATAAGTATTTCATAAGCTTTTTATTTATATACAGCAAAAAATTACAACAAATCAATTGTCATATTAATTAACAAATTTATCAAAACAATTAATTTTTTAATTGAAATATCACCAGCAAAACAGTAAGATTTGCCTATAATTTAATATAAGCAATATTTAAATGCTGAAAGTAATAAAATAATATATATATATATATATATATATATATATATATATATATATATATATATATATATATATATATATATATAATATAACAAAACTGGATGTAATATTTTTGTGATTACTAAGGAAAAAATAAGTTTAAAAATATAATCGAAACTAATGTTAAACGTTAACTGTTACTCAGTTATTTACTAAAAAATTTCATTTTTAATATGTCAATCGGGGACTTGGGGAATTATTGACGTATCAAAGAAACGTTTAACATTTTGAAAGTGTATATGCATTTTCCATAAATAAAGGAAACAGATTAGGTAGCAAATGTGATTAGACAAATCCACACACTCACTTATTCTTTCGTGAATTTTTGTAACATTTATGATCACATGGAAATGATGGAAAAAAAAATCATCTATATTTTAACTTTTTGCGTCATTTTATTTGCAAATGATATACAACATGTCATACAAATAAATTAATACACGCCTACTTCTACTCATGCAAATGTATATGAAACGGAAGTAACAGGTTGTTGCTTAAAATTCACCTCTTTTATTCACCACGAAATCTCTTGGCAACATGTAGCTAACAAAATGTTTATTAGGTAACGAAACGAATATGTTTCTATGTTTGTTGCTTTGATATGTGTGCGAGTGTATAAGTATATGTATATGTATGTATGTACATCCATATACATTTCGTGATGTTATCCAACTGTTTTGTGGAAGATTTTTTATCACTTCTACGCATAGGAGTCCATAATCCATTGTACTTGTATGCAGAGTTGGATATTGGTGAATAACAAAGTGCTGTGTACCAACATTTTTTGTTATTCATGATATCAAAAATATGGCTGTTCTGTATTGCATTAAATATATGGGTTTGAAAATGATCAATGTCGGTTCACAATTTCACCAAACAAATACAATTTAAATAGCCGTAAAAATTATGTAGCAATTGTTTGCACTAGTTAGTTCCATATATTACACTATAGTTTGGTGAAAATCTTGCCACATTTGCCTCCACATACGGTTCCCTTCAGACAATGCTTTCTGGTGGCCATTTTAAAGTTCTAAAGTTATAAACCGCAATTATCGCAATTATCAAATTCATTAACACTGTTATAACATTTTGTCTTACTTTATTACTTTTTCATAATATTTACGAAAATTTCGTGTACAATACGAACTATTATTTAATCAAACCCTTTTCTAATTTTACGCAAGTACGAAAACCTGAAAAGAATTTTATAAAGTTCCTCAAATAGTTGGACTTACAACTATTTGAAGAACTTTATAAAATTTTCTTAATATGTTTTCAATTCAATTATTTTTATCGACTACCCATCAGTTTGGTCGGATAGTCCCGAACTACCTATTTAGTTTGTTTTTTAAGTGTCAACTCTCTCACTTACAAAGGGGACACTAAATTGACGATTATCTTCACCCTCGTTTACAAAGAGTACATCCGTGACGAAACACAAATTAGAGCCTACCAAGTGGTTAGACGTTAGTGGAAATCACTGTCTTTTTCGGATGCATTGACTCTTTGTCGAACTGCTGGGTATCGAATAGCCGAATGTTTGAAAACATTTATGAGTCCATATTAAAATCACACACATTTTATAAATTGCAATCAAACATAGTACCTAATGGTTGATTTTCTAGATTTTATTGTAGACATCCCATCTCTGATGTTAAGTGGTGAGATTCTTGTATTACACTGTTTTGGTAACATTGTGTTTTTTCTTTTTTGATTTTGCTGTTCTTTTTTTTTGTCACTATTTCCTTAACTAAAAAGCATAAATATATTTTTTTGCTTTGTGTTAGTAAATATTGGTTGTTCTTTTACTTTCTGGTGGCTCAAGTTTGTATAAAAAGCATTCACTATTCACATTTGATGTCAAGTTAACCATTCAGTTTCCAAGCGTTGACATCGATCCTGCGGTGTTACAATATCGAAATAAAAACATTAACAAACAATTTAAAAAATTAAATTATTTTAAATTTATTAAAAAAAATCAGTGCTTCTTGTATCTCTAATATTTATTTCAACTTAACGGTAAGTTAATATATAAATAAAAAATGTGTATTATTAAAATATATTTTTAAAATTCTAAGAAAAATATTCCGTGCAATATTTAAAAATTTTAATTTTTGCAAATTTTATTAAAGTTTCATTTACTATTTTATTTTTTAAAACTACTAAAAGTGATAAATCAGCTCATACTCAAAAATCTAAAATTTATTTGTTGGATTTTCGAATTTTAAATATAAATATATACATACTTTTGAGTTTAAGCTTTATAAAAAGTTAATAAATCTTAATATTTTCAACGGATGTGCTAAATAAAAATAAATTTTCGATTAAAAATCGAAACGAAAAGTTTAGAGAAGAAGAAAAACTCATTATAAATTCGGAATCAGTTCAAGCTTTTCAAAAGTTTATGATAATCATTATAATTTCAAATGTCCAAATAAAATATTACAAAAAATCCTTTGATTTTAGACAAAATTAAGAAAATATTTACTATAAATCAATATTTAAATATTTTATTTTCAATATTCTTTTATTAAAATAAACAAAAATCTAAACAATCCTACAGAAGCATTTCTCTAAAGTTCCATTAAAATACATACTTTAATAAATCCATAAACCCAGGAAAAACTGTAGAACTTGTTCGAAAAACAACTAGTTCTACAATGAATGCAGAATGAGAACCACTTCAAATTCTTAAACAACAACCTTGGAACTAGTGATGTCGCAACTACTACAGGAACCCGTTCCTCGGAACATTGTTGTGGTTCTAAAATACTTCTAAAGAGTTTTTAAGGAACTAGTTCTTTGACATTGGTCATACATTGATAGTACACTAGTTCAATGGAACACATACTAGTTCCGAAACAACTTCTTGGAATCAGTTGAAAAAAATGTCAAAAAATTAAAAATTCATAAACTTATTTTTATTGAAATAGAAAACGCATTCATATCTTTATTTCTGTATAAAATTGAACTATAACGAATCAAAGAGATCCTACTTGTATTGTACCGGGAGACTGGGAAGTTAGCTGCTGGTTTCTTATAATAGTTTAACGGATGAATTTTATGTAAGATAATTGAAGTAAGTTTTCTAAATAAATTTTGGTACAATAATAATAATTACTCAACATTTTCTCAAAATTAGACTTAAAATTAATAATTTCGAACAAAAAACGTTGAAAAAATTAACTATTTTTAAATAAAGAGTATACGTTCCGTAAAGCTTCCCTAGAACTAGTTCCGAGGTTGACAATTTCGAACAAAAATCATTGATTACAGAACTAGTTCCGGAACCGTTCCAAAGAACTAGTGTCGACTCCATAACGCTTTCTCAGAACCAGTTCCGAAGGTGACAATTTCGAACAAAAATCATTGGTCTCAACGCCAATATAGAACGAATTCAGACTATAATCATGCGTTCTAGAACTAGTTGTGGAACTAATACAATTTTTGCTGGGAAATACGATATTTTTACTTTTTACAAATAATCAATTCCATCTACTAAAATACAACTTCAAATAATATTCTACAATATTCCTGTTGTAGTAAAACAATCTAGGTTCTCTATTGCTCTATCTCCGACTAATACTTGATCACTATCAACTAACCACATTTAATGAAAATTTCATAAAAATTAAAACTTTTATCCCCGTTCCTATAAATGCTAAATTCTATAATTTTGACCTTATTGCGGAAAAGATAATAAACATTTTTGTTAGAGTATTTCTCGTCCGCAAAACGACTTTCAGTGTATGGAAATGGAAATCAAATGCCAAACTAATTTTTAAATACTTTTCTGTATAAGCTAAAAATTACGATAATTTTACCATCTATTTCGATAAAAGCAAAATCAAAAATCATTTTGTGGACCAAAAATACTTTAAAAAATTTTAGTTATTTTTCCAAATTGTGGAATTTTATACGTGTTTTTCGGACGAACCAAATTGGAAGTGGTTGAAGTCGGTTCATTGTATCACCTAGCCCCCATACAATCGTTCCTTCCGATTTGGACAATTTAGCTCATAACTACACCAACTTTTATAGAAGGGTAAATGACACTGCCGATTTCGAGACGTAAAACTGTCGAAAGCGTAGCAACAAACAAAAGCCTGACCGACCTGAATTACGTCTGACAAACTTTAGATCATCGTATGAAATCAGATGTTAGCTGTTGATAGAAATATGTATATTTTACTTTATTATAAAGACTCATCTAGATTTTGAATTAGAACCACCACTGAAATAAAATTTTCAGAGCAGCAATTTTTTCAAAATGTCATATCTCCAAATTCAAGAAATCCCTAATAAATATAATTAAATTGCTATACAATAGTTAAATAAATAACTTTACAACTATTTAAGAATCAATTGAACACAATCTAAGATCTATAATAATATTTTTTGTATTTATTTCAAATTCATTTGACTTTAATGTTTGCAAACTTTGCGACAATTGTTTATTCAATATTCACAATTGGGATTCGCAAATATTTGCCATCCAACTGTTCCAAGAAAATGTTGCCCAAGTTGTTACAACAACACAAACACAGAGGAGACCCCCAGTTAAAAACATGCAACAAGTGTGCGTGCGTACCGTGTTTGTATGTATGTATGAATATGTGTCTGTGTAAAAAGGATAAATTTCAGTCATTGATTTGTAAACACATGCGACGGGTACAACAATTACAACACATTGAAAGGGAAAAAGTTAAATATTATGTTGATGTATTATTTATGAAATTCTTAATAATTGAATAAAATAATAAATTGCATTTTAAAACTTTGATTTAAAAAAAAACTTTTTCTTAAGACATTTGTTATTTTACGTACATACATACTTGGAATTTTTACTAAAACAATTTCCAATTGAACTATTAGCACTTTGTTAACAAAGTGTTGCTGTTGACATGATTTTGTTTTATGGTCGAATGAATGAATGAATTGCTCGTAACTCTAATATAGATGATAATAATCCCAGTGCATATATACATAAATTCAATGTAAATGTGTTTGAATGTATAGTTAGAAATAGATTAATGTTTTATAATACTAAATGGAAAGTTAAAAAAAATTAAATATCGAATGTTTATATGCAAGTTTGTGTATATCTACAAGTACATTTACGATAAGTCTTCTCGTTAATCAGTACATTTTTATTACGCCAATAAATAATGTTTAAGAGTTAATTAGAAATTTGATAGTGAACAACAATGAGATTAAAAAGGGAATAGAAACGCACACAATCTTTATGCACTTTTTACATACAAACTCACATACGAAAACAGATTCATTGGAAACAGCTGTGGCTGTTTCGAAATCCTTTATACATGTGTGTGAAGGAAATACTACAATATTTTATGTTCGCATTTTTTAATTTGCATGTAAAATACTTTTACATTTGGTCGACATTTTATCAACACTGTCTGCAGTTTTTGGGGAAAAGAGTTTATCCGTCTGTTAGCAAAGGAGTTCGCTATGTAATTTTTGGAAACTATCCAGAACAACTTCTTTTTACTCATTTGTCCCTATCACATTTTACGATTTTTGAAGATCCTGGCTCCATTATTTTCCAGATATACGATTTGTATTTATTTAATATGGGAGATGCCATACCAACTATTTCCAGACGTTAATTTGGATTTTAATGTAACCCTTGCAAAATTTGGGTTTACTTCACTGGAGACAAACTTGGGTCCCATTTTGATACCTGTATAGAAAAAGCTTAACCAGTGCCTCAGGTGGGAATCGGATGCACTACTTCCGGTCTACCAGACTAGAACACTAGCCAACCGGAGTCCGTTAAGTCATGTTGTGTCTGACGTACTAAATCTACAATCTGGCGTAATGACACAGAAAATTCGTGACATCATTTTTTGTCCTATTTCTAAAGGAAGTCTTTCGATTTCAAAATCAAAGTATGTTTAAATCGTCAGCTCCCTCATCCTATCATTATACATAGAGTTAACTAGTGTAATATCTATCACGTCCCTCCTTCCTTCAGTTAAAGCTACTATATAATAGTATAGTGTCAACAATAATCAAAACGAATTAAGATTAATGTTGCGCTTGACTACTATACTGGAGTATAATAGCTTATCATTAATCATTTTCTTTACGAATCCAGGCTTTCTGGACTAAGGCAAGTTCCTCTCCACGAACACCCATCTGAAGGAACTGGACAACCGAGTGCTTTAGATTGGTGGAGAATAACTCCCATCTCCTTTGACTTACACATATAAAAGTCTTTGGACGTAAACTACTAGCTTTTACTAGCTTTACGGAGGATTTATCCTTCTCAGAGCGATTCATTCGATTAGGCCCTCAACGATTTTGACGGCATTTTGAATTTCAAATGAAATAACTTTCGACTTTAAATGTGAATTAAATCCCCAAATTTTGTTCTTTTTAATTTCTGAACAAATTTTTTGGGAGTTATTTAATTTTTGTTTTGGGAGTTATTTCATGACGCTCTATTTATTTCTACATGCGTTTGCTATATACATATTTACATTATGTCTTATAACTTCTCAACGAATCGGAGGAACTGAACATAATTTTGATTTAAGTTAGGTTGATAGTAGGATGTACATATACTACATCAAATCCGAAGAAGTACACCTAATCCACTATCGGACCTGTTGTCCTTTTTATGAAAAAATTGTTCGCTGAATGTATTCTTTTTCAATATTCAGAAACTCAGTTTCCTGGATGTAATTCCTAAGAATCTTCCCATCAGTGTTAGGCAGGAATGTTATTTCAGGAATAACATCACTTCTAAGATACTTGGATCTAACTTCGACTAAAGTCTGACAGTGGCAAAGAAAGTGCTTCAGAGTTTCACTGTCCTCTCCACATGCTCGTAGTCCTGTGTGTGTACTCAGAATACGTACTGTCATACTAACTTCAGACTTGCTCATTTTGAGGAGATTTCTCGTCTAGCTCTCATCACGGTCACAACATAGGATCTTTGTGGTTCTACCCGCCGTTTCATTATTCCAAGAGGATTCTCTCACCCATGTTTT